ATACCGAACTGCAAGCCTTTTCACAAATATCCCTCTCTACAAACAGATCAACTCACCTACCAGGTATAAAACTGATAACAAACCATCGGTACTTGACGTACTTACAAATGAGGACCTCATGATCAACAGGCCATTTATAGACACCTAGGTATGGTTAAGCGATCGTATCACCATACTTTATAACTATGTGTTACGCTGAATTTCCTGTGGATCACAGAACTAACACGTACTATCACACATTACTACATCCTGAACAACCTAATTGAGACGACCGATTGGGAATTCTTGAAAGGTGGCTCACCTGACAGCGCCTAGATTCAATTTGTTGGATCTTTTAGCAATTTAATCGCAACTGCTTCAGAAGCGAAGAGGGTTTGCTCCAGCAATCCCTCGTCTTTCCTTAGAAGTAGAACCCACAAGCGCGTGACAATAAGGAATGCAGCTTGGCACATTTACGGAGCCTGTCCTAGTCCCGAACCCTGGAGCGGTGATGTGACAAATTGCTTCACCAACAACATTTGGCCAGTAAATTTGCTAACAACAAAAAGCTCCTACACAAGCATGCTAACACCATCCGGAAAGTGAAGCTCCGTATCCCCCACTTAACACGACAGTCGGAGTGACACAGAGTGCCGAAGAGGCAGCCAACGCCCTACGAATGCAGTATACCCCAAAGAGACATACCGCCAGTATTACATACCCACATCCCCAGCCCCAACTACAGCACTCACTAACATCGATGTTACTGCCGCAGCTGTGTTGAAGAAACTGCTCTCACTACGCACCTACATCTCTCCCAGAATCGATTATATTCACCCGAGGGCGCTGAACGTAGCAGATACGATGCTGGTCGTGCCATTATCGCGTTTTTTCCAAACGCGCTTGGTGAAGCAAATTGTGCCCACCATATGGAAACCTGGCTTTATCACTCCAATTTTCAAAAGCGGTAATCACTCGGAACTTGTCAACTTTCGCCTATTAGTCCTCCTCCCTGTGCTCTCAAAAGTGATGAAGGCAATCATCACTGTGGCTCTAGTAGACCATGTAGAACGCCACAACATCAAAGCACCGGATCAACACGGTTTCCGCCAGTACCGTTCATGCACTACCAACCTACTGATTGCACTCGGTAGTTGGACGGAATCGACCGGTGAAGGCAGAGGGACAGACGTCTTTTACCTCGACTTCTCCAAAGCCTTCGACTGACTGGACCACTGCATTCTGCTTCACAGGCTCGCAAGTGATTTACTTGGGAATCCGGTCCTTGGGTGGATCAGAAATTTCCTGCAGGATCGGTAACTGCTGGTCAGATTTCGAAGTGCGCTGTCCGATCCGATTTATGTCGAGTGTGGTTCCCTAAGATTAGTTCTTGGGCCGCGTCTGTTTCTCCTGTTCATTAACGAGCTTACGCGTTTGATTACCTTCGATTTCTTGCTGTTCACTGACGATCTTAAGATGTAGCGGACCATCGTCACCTCAGCAGATTACCATGCACTTCAACGAGACCTGGACAGAGCCTGTGGATTTTCACCCCACAATCTGCTCTAGTTCAGTTCGGGGAAGTGTAAGGTGGTTCACATTCGCCACCAGCCAAACATCATATACGAGCTTGGGGATCATGTCATGCAAGCAGTCACTGAGGAGCGCGACGTTGGGGTACTAATCCACGCTGGTATGGGCTGCTCAGAACAATCTGAGTAGGCGTCCAAGACTGCAAACCAACACATTGGCATACTGCGGAGGGCATTTGGGTGGTTTGATCCCTCTCTGTTCGCAGTTGTTTAACATCTACGTGCGGCCTCATGTGGAATACGCAATCCAGCCGTGGCAGCAAGTCCTTACAGCGCTCGAGACTTCACAGCGACGAGTTACGAATCACGTCCCTAAAATTATACAGTGGCCTGTATCGGCGCCTGCGTGGTGACTTTATTATGGCCTACCAGATTCTAAGGAACTCCAACCACGTCTGCCGTCACCTACTACAACCTAGCCACAGCACGAATTTGCGGGGCCACCAGTGTTCAAGTTAGCCAGGCAATACAGTCGGCTAGAATGTCGACGGAACTTTGACTTTTCGTGTGTGCCAGCCATGGAACGTCGCCACCCTCACATTACTTTGTTTTTGCCCCCACTTTACCTGCGTTTAAAAAATGCTTTGACGTTACCCTAACCTACCTACACTACCTGATATTGCCTGTGTGTCTCGACCAACGATATAATACGACGAAAGTTGCGCAACCAGAATTACCCTAAACAACTGTGCTTGGTCCTTTCTGCGGGCCTCTGTGGTAACACTGTGATGAGTCCACAAAAACGATTTGCATGAGACCACTGTTTTCTATTCACCATGTTGCGGTTCTCTTTTTTGGCCATCCTACCGGACTTACTAAGCATTCGCTTTTTGTGCGTGATATACCATTGTTGCAATGGTAGCGGTTAGCAGTTGCTACGCCTGTGTGCAGATGCTCGTACATTTATCGCGAGCACTAACTTCCGGTACAGCACCCATTGAACGGTGACATGGCGCCCACCAGTCTTGGGTCAGTCATGGATGCAATTTGGTCACATCTCGATCACTTACCGCTGGAGAGGCTGCGTCAAACCCTGTCGCTCGATTTGTTGATCGAGCTTTGACTCTGGCCACGCACTTGTATGTGCCGATTTACTGTTGCGGTTCGGCGAACGTGCGCAGCGGCTCTGTAAACGCATAGATACTTGCCTACTGGTGAAGCCAACTGTTCCGATTGCGTATCAAATTATGCTGGCATCCAAGCTGATAAAGCGCTCACTGAAGTCAGTCGAAGATCACTGATCGCATATCCGCCAGACGCTGTTAGCAGCAGGCTTGTCTTCATGTGACACATCAAATTACCACCCTCTACATTGGGTCTCTACACAGTCTCTGGAACTTCTGGATGCTGACTGACGTGTTCCCACTGAAAGCGAATACATTGAGACTCGAAAAGATCTCAGGCCTGAGGAGAGATCACGAATCTGGGTGGTCTTTCTGTGCCACGAATATAGGGAGTATTGTTACCGTCGGTAACCATCGTAAGTTTTTCCGTCTGATACGAGTAACCAGCTACAGGAACCCCGGTGTTAGTGAAACCAGCCAATACTCGGCTTGTCACAGCTATTGAAGCGTTGTGCTTAGCACTTTGAGAAGCAGCTTAATCAGTCAGAGTGGCCATGCTTGCCCTATTCCTTGGGCCGTACCCTTGGGTCCGCCCTCACTCGCACATATCATGTGCGAGATCAGGCGGCTGAAATTAAACATTGCGGCAGGAGCAGATGAACTTCATCCAACCCTCTTTGAATTCGTGGACCTGATTTTTTCGGTCGATTTGGGAGCAAGTAGCTCTCACAGCAGACTGGAGCCACTCCGTTTTTGTTTTTTTATTTTCGAGGGAAACTCTTATTCATAATGCAGCAGTCATAAAGGATTTAGTCTGACCACAATTGCCTCCAGGTTACTTGCCTCCGTGAAAACCAGTTTTGTGAGTAACAAGCTGGGTTTCGTCGGACCCGAGGCTGCATTGACCACACCTTCACATTTTATCAATCTTTGGAGCATCGCCGTGTTTATTGGTGACCCACCGTTATCGTGTTTCTCGGCATCAAAAGTGCCTTCGATCCGGTTGATCAGTGTGCCCTTTGGGACTATCTGCTCAGGTGTGCCCGAAAGATACGTAAACATTATCTGAGTGCTGTACACGCATAGTTCGGGCAGAGTGATGGTTTACGACAAACTTTCGTCGCCCTTCAATATATCCAATCGTGTGAAACAAGGTTGCCTGTTGTTACTTTTCCTCCTTAACTTCGCCATTAACGAAGTCATGGAAACGGCGTTCGCCGTGTGGAGCTGCTCCCAGGTGAGCGACTTCTTGACTTGGAGTATGCGGTCGACGTTGCTCTAATTTTTCAAGCGTGCCATGTTGCACTGCCCAAATTAGCATTGATTATCATTCGTTTCGGGATATGCTAGTCACCGTCTAAATGCAATATCCTTCTCCTCCCATTTCTGCACTAACCCTTGGTAGTGATCAACTACAAGTCGTCCAGAAATTCAAGTATCTAGGCAGCTATATTACGCTTATGTGATCGAAGATACGATTAAGAAATGTCTAGCGAAAGCTCTAGGCGCTTTTGCTAGTATCTTCCAGCTCTGCCGCCGGTATGACATCACTCTCCCTTTCTCTCCGTATGACAGAGTTGTGGCCTTGCGTTCAGCCCTCATCTACGGTTTTGAAACCTGGCCCATCAGTTACATTTGACAATCACTGCCTTCGTAGCTTAGCTCATGTGTGGTGGGAGCATCGCGTTTGCTGCAGGAAGAGCGAGTAAGCCGATCTGCACCGTTATTTCACTCATCAGTGTTACGCATGCCATCACACCGGCTCATGCGTCGTTTGCGTGCCGGGTGTGTGGATGGATGAGGTGGAGCGAAATCCCTCACTTCGCAATTGGCGTCAGTTGATGTCTCCGGGCTGCCAACTGAAGGACCATAAACACGTCCAGTTGGATGCACTAGTTGACATGGCAAAGAGCCGACTTCAACGGTGTTTGTGTTGTTAGTATTTTTGTCTCTCCTCATCTCGTTTGACTCCCTCTCCAACAACGATCTCATCTCAAATGCATGATTTCATATTTAGCTTTATATTGCTTTTTCAGTTTTCTTACTCTGTAATGTCTCTGGTATCTCATCTTTTCATACAGCGGCACAATAGTTGAGATGTTTCACCCTCAACTTATATACATTCGGTGATGATAAAGATGAGTCATTGTTAATGTTTATCATTGAAGTGCATACTGGAGAACTTTTCTATTTTTCCTCTGGAAACTCCGAGCAACCACTTAATTTGTGTGATGGTTCCAGCTTCCTGGTGCGATTCTCAAACCCATAGGAACTTTGTGTTTTGATTAAATGATTTTGATGCACTTCGCATGTATCGGCACCCTTTCCGCACTGTGCTTATACATCTTTATTTCTGACATTGTAGAAGAGAAGCCTTACAGCTGTGTTCACTGTGACAAACGCTTCGCTTGGCAGAGTTGTCTACGAATCCACATTGACGCAGTACATCTGAGTGAGTACTTGTCTGAGTCTGTGTTGTCAGTATTTTTGTATATCCATAGTGAGACTGCTGAGTTTTCTCACTTAGCTACTGTTTTGCACACTACTGCGCGTTGGAAGTGGTGTCGCTTATGTTTTGTTCCCGGGCATTTTGGCTTTATTGCGCTGTTTTCATTGACCCTGATGGGTCACCATGACTTTTGAAGATTGCTCATACACTTTAATGTACAACCGATAATTTAGTCGAACAGACGATTTAGATGTGGCTGTTTTTCTACTCCTACCGCTTCTTTGAAGCAAATGAAATCAGTTCGTTGACTATTACGTGTCTTTGTCACATCAAATAAGCTGCCACCGATAGACCAATCACCGCATTATCCAACATGATCCTGAAGCCTTATATAGCCTGAATTTAACTGTTTTGCAGTCGACGGTTTCCTGTGTTGATCTCGCCTCTTTTAACATGTTAGTCTCCTTAACACAACTTTGATGATCACTACAACAGGGTATTTGAACTTCAGTTGTATCCAGATTTAGGAAGTCGTAGCAAGATTCATTCATGCGAAGGGCACACATCCGGAGGTCATTTCGCGTCTTATTGAGACTCATCGCTATGTACGTAATCGGCGACATCCGTTTTCGGATTTGTCTCTCACTGTTGGCATCCACAGGACGCCTTCCCCTACTGAGGAATGGACCGTGTCTTTAGCTTGCCCTGCATCACCCGCAGTTCCTCATTATCTCATCATTATAGACGTCAGCTATTGGTGGAAAACACCTCAACAATTGTGCCGCAATACAAAAAACGAGGGAAAAAACATGCAACAGTAGTACGCCGGATGAATCGTCAGTAACGGATGGGCATCGTTCCGGGGAGGTAACAGCCCCGGCTATTGTTTCGCAAAAAATAAGTTATACTATGCCTAATAGATGAGGTCGTCGTTGGAGCAGGAGGCTAAGCAGGATGGGGAGGGTCGAGGATACTCAGAACACAAACGCCATTGAGGTCGACTCCTAGCCATGTGAACAAGTGTATCCAGTCAAAAGTGTTCACCGTCCTTCGGTCGCCAATCAGGGAGCCGATAGGCTCCAACCGAGGCAAACTTCCATGTAAGGGCCTTCATTCCTTTCGAGGATGTCATCACTCGGCCACTTCTCCTCTTGTTCCATCCACACCACCGGCGAGAAACAACGCGCGTCGCGGGAGTCGGTGTACTGGCATGCCACACTCTTCGCGTCTATGACGATACTGAGTCAAGGGCTCAGTATATTTACGGTGTTAGTGTTGCCCTTTAGTAAGCTTGCTGAAGGTAATCTGCTCGACTGGACACTGGTGAACAGGCGCACGTGCGCAGTTCTACTTCGATCATGAGTGTTTTGCGAAAGTGGTGAGCGGACCTAACGTAAGCAGCATCTGAAGACAAGATGCCTTTTCGCGCCTCAGTTTATGCCCTTACTGAATGCAGTTCAAAAGATTTCAAAGGCGATTGCTATCAACAGCTCATCTTTTCTTCGCATGGTAAAGAATACTGACATTGTGGTTGTTGCTTTTGTCTTGAATGCCCAAGTGGGTCGCCTTTCAGACTATACACAGCACTTGGCAGGCCGCTTCGGGGTCGATGCACACCGGACAGACAATTTTGATCGATTCCTGCATATGTGTGCCGACCACGACCTTTGCCTTAGCAGCACTGCTTTCCAGCACAAACCTTCACACCGCGTCACCTGGCACTCACCGACTCCCTCAATGACCTGGACCCAAATTGACCATATTGCCATCAGCTACAGATGGCGCACATCAGTCCAAGACTGTCGATCAATTTGGAGCACATGCTTGGATTCCGGCTAAGCTCCAGTTTGCGCACGCTGGGTGTTTACTCTTTCCGCTTCAAAGAAGCGCCGATCTTATACCCTTACCCTTAACTTGAACTCGCTACCTACAGTTCGACAATATCATGACTCAGGAAGAAGAGGAACAATGGTAGATGCGCGTACTTCGTATCATCTTGTCAGTACCATTATGATAACAGAAAATAATCATAATAGTTATCATGGCGTGTCACTTGACCACTCACGTGCACCAGGGTGAAGGGCGACTATAGCTCTAAGACAACGGCAGCCGAAAATTTACCACTATTTGTTTTTACACACATAGGGGCCGGTCTCATTCGGTTTATCGCCAAGGCCTCGGCGAATCGCATGCACCGCAAACAAGGATGACGCAGTAGAATCCTGAACGCCGATGCATGGTTAACCCGATGATGGGACTCCCCTTGATCACCCTGGTGGCTTACATGAGCTCGCAGCACTAGTGGCGGAATTGCTTGACCTCACGTTGAACACAATTGGGGGGGGGTGTTCCTTCCCTCTGCAATTCAAAAAGCTCTCTCGGTTCTGCCTATGTAGTTGACTCCGCAATCTTGACCAACTGGCCCACCAATTATCATCGGTGAATAAAATGGGTGAACCGAACGTTTACTGGAATGGTCTCAAATGTGCGGCAGAGAAATGCCTGTGACGTATTCTGTGAACCCAGCTTGAGACGTCGTAACTGAATATATCTCTGAGGCGTCCATCAGCGCACTCGAATCACGGAAACAGGTTCCGATGGTGTCCGGAACTCCCTGAAACGGCGTCTGACAAGGTGTCTTCGAATCGATCGGGAACTTTGGTTAATAGCCAAAAACTGTGCAGTGTAACAAGCCAATACTATCGGGCCTATCCGAGTGCTATTCCGACTCATCCGGAACATGGGTCTGTGCAATCCAGCAGTTAGCGAGACGATAGCAGATAAGAATGGACAGCTGATTCCTTCTCAGCTTCGCCGACTAGCCCGCTGGGCGGAAAATTTTGAAGTGCAGGCCTCCTGAGACACTCCCGCTTGCGGAATCGCCTGAGCGACGTGAGATGTCACACCTCCGACTTTGGACGGTGTTCGACATGAGCTTTCCATGTTGAAACCAAACAATGCTCCTGGACCCGACGACCTTCCTCCATCTTCGCTAGCTGATGGCGGTGACCTTTTGTTCACCGGCCTTGCTTCTCTACTTGACACGATTTGGAACGCTGAAGGTGTGCCTTAAGTGTGTCGACCGTCTATTGGCGTGTCCATCTTTAGAAGGGTCAGCGCACTTTGTGCAAGTATCATCAAGGTATTAGCCTTATTTTGCTTGCATCCAAACTTCTCACGGGTATCATTCTCCAACAACTTACTGGTCCTCTTGAGACCGAAACACTGAAAGCCGGCTTCCTCCTGGTCGTCGACCACATATGTACTCTAAGACACGTTTTGGAGCGGAAACACGCATACATACCACTGACTGTGGTGCTTTCCCTTGATTCCAAAGCCGCCTTCCACTCTGTTGACTGCGCCAGTTTATTGTGTTCCGGCTAAATTCCGTTCCATTATGAAGTCTCTACTGTGATTCACGAGGCCGTGTAAGGGTTTACGTGAAACTCTGCAGAGCTCCCCACGATAAGTGGGGTTCACCAGGAATGTCCTTTATCTCTTTTCCTCTGCAACTTTGCTATCGAAATGCTCATAAACGACTCCGTTCTTTCAGACTATACTGGCATGTGATCGACTGACAAACTTGGAGTATGCGGGCCACATAGATCTCCTAGGGTCGGACACAGTGGCTATGCAGACACTACTGGATAGACTTGTGTGTAGCGCTGCACACTTCGACGTGTGCTTTGCGCCTTGAAAGTGTAAAGTACTACTGTAGAACTGGATCGACACACCTCCGGAATTAGCTATCACCGAATGGCAACTGGAAGCGGTGGATGGGTGTACTTACCTTGGTATTTGTGTTGCTTCTTGTGGTGACATCACTGAGGAAGTTACTTCGCGTATCAACAAGGCCCCTGCGACGTTCCAGAGAATCAACATCTATGGAGACGGCGACATATCAGTCTGTTGTTGTAGGGTATGTAACGCTGTAATATTGCTGGTCTTAATGTGTGGATCGGAGACTTGGCCAGTTCGCAGTGAAGACATTAAACGCTTGACCGTGTTTGACCACCGGTGCTTGCAGGTTACTGCTCAAGTTTGGCGGGAACACCGGGTGAGCAATGCTGAAGTCCGCCAGTTGGTTTTTCGCAAGAAGCCTTCTGGTGACTCTCTCCAGTGTTTGCGGAATCTTGATCGCTTGCGTTAGCTAGGCCATGTTTTCCGTATGCTTGTTGACCGGCTTCCTCGGCGGACATTATACGCTGTAGCCGCACTAAGTTGGGCGAAACCGCGAGGTGGGCAGTCCATGACATGACATAGTCATCACCATCATTATACACGTTAGCTAGAGGTGGAAAACACCTCAGCTGGTGTGTCGCAATGCATCAAATAAAAAATGACGTGCAACTGATGGATGCCAGCTGAGCTACAAGTAACTGATGGATATCGTTCCGGAAAGCTACCAGCTGGCTACTGTGCAGCAAAAAAAGCTATTTTGTAAAATTATATTATGCTAAAAATTGAGATCGTGGTTGGAGTGGAAGGCAAAGAAAAATGGGGATGGACAAAGGAACTCACAACACAAACGCCATTGAGGTCGGCTTTTAGCCATATCAGCAAGTGTGTCCAACCAAACGTGTTCACCCTCTTTCGGACCCCAACTGAAGAGCCGAACGCTCCAACCAAAGCCAGCTTCGAAGTGAGGAACGTGACACAGTGGCGTAAAGTAATTGTAGACTTTGTCAGGGTGGTGCATGCCTCTGGTGCCTCTGCATTGTCCACACCAATGGTTGGAGACCTTATCACACCTGGTGCAGTAACTCAGTCACTGGCGTTCCTGCATGCGGATTCTTTCATCTTGTTAATTTTTCATTCCATTCTTATTTGTTTAACACCTTCCCTTTTGTTTCCGTTTTCTTCACATTCTCTTTGTATTCAACTTACTTATCTTACCGCTGGTTGTTTATTATTCTTGCTATATGATTCTTGACCGCTGGACCAACCGTACTTCGGGGCTCGGATCTCAGTTGTCCAACTAAACTCTTTGTGGGTACAAGGCTGGTTGTTTGTGCTTTCTCGCACGAAGTCTACTTTAACGACCGACATCGTTCTGCCTCACATTTTTGTCTATTTATGCATCATTAACGAATTTTTTTGTCTAATAACCCACAACTTTTATTCCCATCATTATGGCCTAGTATTACAACTTGTGTACATTCCACTTGTGTGAATTCCAGCAGTTAATTCTCCATTTTATCCATGTTTTCTCTTGTGTTTCATCTGTACTTACTTTTTGTTTCTTAATCTAGAGCAACGCCCCCACAAATGCGATCGTTGTAATCAATCGTTTACTGTGCTGAACGCTTTGAAAATTCACATCCAGAGTGTACATTTGAGTGAGTGTAAGGTTGGAGGCTTTATTTGCTTTTTTGTTTTATCGCCCACGGCTATTGCTGTCTTGGAATGTGTCTACAATATATGGGGCGTCATTGGTAGTTCTGTTGTTATCTCAGTCCATTGTCTCTCCTAGGGGACCAGTGAGATCTTCGCTGACTGCTTCCCGAGTCAACATTTTCACTGGTATCTGAGTTCTAGCACTTATCTTGCGTTTCGGTTATCATGGAGATTTTAATATTGTAGATTTAAAGTTGAATTTAGGGAACACGCTGTGTGGTTGGGTTGCGACTCGCAACCTCTATTGATACCTCGAATCACTTTGAGGTAAACCTGGGTGGGGCAACACCCAAATCTTTCCATTCCCGATACGGTCCTCGCGATCGGAATGACCTAGGTTTACCTCAAAGTGATCTGAGGTCCAATAGAGGTTGCGAGTCGCAACTCAACCACACAGTGAGTTCCCTAAATTCAAGTTTGATTTGTTTTCCGCTGTGCCAAGCGTTGCTCGCGGATCTCAGTAGCACAGTGTTCAGGGTGTCAGCCGTGAACTCATAGGCTCTGAGGCAGCTGAGGCTATCTCCACCTGATGTGGTGTGCAAGTGTTGGATGGGGCAACACCCAAATATTTCCATATTGTAGATTTCTTTCGTTTTCAATAATGCTAAGTCAACAAAATCTCTTTATAGACTACACCGCATTAAGGCTTCCAGCAAAAAATCCTGAGGAATTTTCGATGCTAAGTCAGAAAGTGTCCGGCACGCATGACCTCATGACTTTTCCTCGATCCTTTGTAATCACTGATGTTACCAGCTAAATTACAAGCTTCTGCAACCACGTGCCTGATATTTGCAGCCATAGTGTCCTCTGGTCCATGGCGATTTTGGCATGTGTGTATCTTTCAGCTACCCTACACGCCAATTGCATTCATCCACACGTATGTTCACAGTTTAGCTCCTATCTGATATTAATCCCATTTGAGCAGCGTTTTCGCGGTCATGTTGACAGCGCAGGAAGGGTAAGTGAATCGCTTAACTCCGTTATTTCCCGCGCCACACTCCATGGGTGTGTCATGTGTTACGCATTCCAGTACACTGGCTCCTGTGAACTACGTTGTTTGCCTGAGCATGGTCTGCACGGAAGATATGGGGCGAGACCAGTTAATGAGGATAATATAGACTCCTACTTCGAAATAGATAATGGTTAACACTTGGTCAGTCTCCGAAAGTCTATGAACTCATTTGATTGGAAACACTTGAGATGATCGAGAGCCAACCTCAGTGTCGGTTGTGTTGTTTCTTTGTCCCTCGCCTCCAACCACCGTCTCATTTCTGATGTGTAGTAAAGACGGTGTGTTTTTGTTTCCTTTTATATAGCGATCTGGTTGAACTGTACTGCGGCATCCTTATCCAGTATGTAGATTGATAATGTTGAGACGTATCACATCTAGTTTTATCCCTAGGGTTTTCTTGCAACTGACGGGCTGCTGAGTGAGCTATTCGCTTGAACAACACAATGCGTGTTCACCTGTTGATTGTTTTCCCGAGCTTGATTAAGAAATCGCATACGTTTCACAACCATGCGAGGTGGCATCTTCAGTGCAGTAATAGGCAGTGTGTATTGCTGCTTAGTGGATTGTCAGTCCGTCATGCACGGGCAGGTGACTTTTGAAGGTGGCGATTTCGATTTGTGCCACGTGATCTCTGCCCATTTGCTTCCACGGCTGAACCAGGTCTTGCGATTCGCCGGAGATCTTTCTTTCGGAGTTGATGGTACACGGGGTCAATGTCGATGCGCATGTTGATCGAATTATTAGAGGAGTACCATGCTTCTAGGAACTCCCTTCCTTTCTGTGTTGTTGTTTGAGCTAAAATCACTGTTTGGTCCCAATTGAAGCTATGTCCCTCCTCATCTACATGCGCTGAGACAAGAGACGATGCATAATGTTTTTTACAAGCCCTCTGATGTTCTTGTATTCTTGTGGATAATTTCCTTCCTGTCTGCCCCACATAGTTCATTTCACAATTATTGCAATTTATTTTATACACGACGTTTGTTCGTTCTTGTGCAGTCCTCATATCCTTTGGGTTTGATAGTATTCTTCGCAAAGTAGCGGTTGGCTTATGAGCGACCACGATGTTGTATTGTTTGAGCAATCTGGCAGTCATTTCAGATATGTTCTTCATATACGGCAAAACGACCCTCTTGCTTGCATTTGGTATCGGCTCGGTGTTCATAACTTTATGGTTTAGACATCTGCGGATGAAGCTGCGTGGGTAGCCATTGCGCTCGAACGAATCGAATAGGTGTTTCTCTTCTTCCCGTTTGGCTTCCACTGTGCTGCAGTGTGTTTCAATCCTGCGAAATAGTGTCCGCACGCAACTTATTTTGTGGCACTTTGGGTGATTGCTATAGAAGTTCAAAATTTGATCCGTATGTGTTCCTTTTCTGTGAACGGATGTTTGAAATTCACCATCGTTTGTTCTGGTCACCAACACATCCAAGAATGGGAGCATGTTTTCTGCCTCTAACTCCATTGTAAACTGAATCCCATCCATTGCATTGTTGAGCAGTTGGTGTGCGATTGCTACTTCACTGCGTTTCAGTATTACAAATGTATCGTCTCTTTCGACGTCACCGCTTTATTTACATCTGTCAATTTGCAACTGGCAAAAGAAGCCATCATAGAACGCCTGAACAACAGAGATGAGAAAATTGGGAGTATGACGACTGCAAGCATTTGCAAGCTTCTCCAACTATGCCTCACAACTTACTTCTCGTTCAACGGAGAGATCTACGAGCAGGTGAAGGGGGCACCGATGGGATCACCAATATCAGGTCTGATCGCTGAGATCGTCATGCAAAAGTTGGAAGAAGATCTACTACCAGCTATTAACCCGAAGTTGTGGGTACGCTATGTTGACGATACATTTGTAATACTGAAACGCAGTGAAGTAGCAATCGCTCACCAACTGCTCAACAATGCAATGGATGGGATTCAGTTTACAATGGAGTTAGAGGCAGAAAACATGCTCCCATTCTTGGATGTGTTGGTGACCAGAACAAACGATGGTGAATTTCAAACATCCGTTCACAGAAAAGGAACACATACGGATCAAATTTTGAACTTCTATAGCAATCACCCAAAGTGCCACAAAATAAGTTGCGTGCGGACACTATTTCGCAGGATTGAAACACACTGCAGCACAGTGGAAGCCAAACGGGAAGAAGAGAAACACCTATTCGATTCGTTCGAGCGCAATGGCTACCCACGCAGCTTCATCCGCAGATGTCTAAACCATAAAGTTATGAACACCGAGCCGATACCAAATGCAAGCAAGAGGGTCGTTTTGCCGTATATGAAGAACATATCTGAAATGACTGCCAGATTGCTCAAACAATACAACATCGTGGTCGCTCATAAGCCAACCGCTACTTTGCGAAGAATACTATCAAACCCAAAGGATATGAGGACTGCACAAGAACGAACAAACGTCGTGTATAAAATAAATGCAATAATTGTGAAATGAACTATGTGGGGCAGACAGGAAGGAAATTATCCACAAGAATACAAGAACATCAGAGGGCTTGTAAAAAACATTATGCATCGTCTCTTGTCTCAGCGCATGTAGATGAGGAGGGACATAGCTTCAATTGGGACCAAACAGTGATTTTAGCTCAAACAACAACACAGAAAGGAAGGGAGTTCCTAGAAGCATGGTACTCCTCTAATAATTCGATCAACATGCGCATCGACATTGACCCCGTGTACCATCAACTCCGAAAGAAAGATCTCCGGCGAATCGCAAGACCTGGTTCAGCCGTGGAAGCAAATGGGCAGAGATCACGTGGCACAAATCGAAATCGCCACCTTCAAAAGTCACCTGCCCGTGCATGACGGACTGACAATCCACTAAGCAGCAATACACACTGCCTATTACTGCAGTGAAGATGCCACCTCGCATGGTGGTGAAACGGATGCGATTTCTTAATCAAGCTCGGGAAAACAATCAACAGGTGAGCAACCAAGCCGGGCTACCAGTGTTCCAAGTTATTTCGAACACAATGCGTGTGTTAGGACATCGGTTTCTTTGGTATAGTCGATAGCGTGACCAACCAGTGGTTAGGCACCTTCCAAGATCTCTTTAATAAGCTCATACACTGTATTGATTCACGACTCAGGCACCGTTTGAATTGTTCATCCGGCGAATGTTGCGCACGGGCTCGGAGTTGTTCAAATGTGGGAGACAGAGAATGGTCGTTACTTACTCTTCCGCGCTAAATTGGCTTTATGATAATGACGCATGCTGAAGGAATGATAAAATCGGAGTTTGACCTTTTATCTCAGAGATGAACTGCGAAGCTGTTCCGATCCCTGTCACCGGACGAAGCTGCGATGGTCTACCATCTGTGCTTGTTTTCCGTGGATCGCACTTACTGCAACCCGCCAGTATCGTTTCTGTGCGGTTTCTTCCTACCTAACAAACGTTGAAACATATATATATATATATATATATATATATATATATATATGCCAGTGGTACGTTATTGTATTAGTATATTACATCGGAAAGGAGTCGGCGCATAGCGACAATCGTTTTATGATCGCAAAATGGCTGCGCCCGGAGATGTACGGTACAGATCTTTATCAAATAGCTTATCGTGACAACAGAGTACACATGGGTCTGTACAAACGTTGGAATACTTGGACATTTGCAAAACAATGCGAGCACTGTTTGGAAAGTCGCATGTTTGACAGTGGGCAGCGGGACTTAGTTAATCTCACCTGTCAATATCAAAGGTTGCGCACTAATCGTTGTTTGAGTATGTGCACTTACCTCGGGTAGCAGATGATCGAACCGATGGGTGACACGGAGAGCCAGAAGTGGACACTTCATCACGTTCGCATGCTGTGCGATCACCCCCATGAGTTACGCGAAACAGACTTTACATGTTGACGGTAACACCTAAGTGCACACTATTTCACTGTAACAGTAGTTTAGTTATCCTTCTACCAAACAGTTGCTTCACTATTGCTATATCGGATTCCTTGAAATATGGATGCCCACCATTTAAGGCTGTCACGTCTAAATATTGAGAAAGACATCAACAGTTCGTATTGGGTACTTATTCTCCTGCCTGCGAAAGTGGTTGTTAGCCTGGCCTCCAAACCAAACCCATGCACGTTTGTAGTACTATTGTTCATGAGGTTTAAATGTCTATCTATCCAGTTTGTGACTGTTCATATTTAAGTTTGGACAAACGCATGCGCATATGTTGTACTCGAACTGTCATTGGACACGGATGTCGCCAATCCATGTATATATATGTATACCGAATGAATTCGACAGATATATTGATACCGCTTTGGTACGACCAACTTTGTGCAGGGATGCGGCACTCGGTCAAACCGAAAATAACACAACCAGGACATGAACAAATTGAGTTTATGATGAACTAATTTTGATTTATGGTGTTGCGAATCAAAGTCAAAGTTGATCGGTGCGAATTCCGTGGGCTGATCAAGAGTGTGGTTGCTCAGGTGCAGGAGAAGGCAGTTGCAGGTGGAATAGAAACACCATGAATGCGCTCCCATTCGATTTACTAATCGAGGCCAATAAGGCGGCGTATGTGGTACGTTGGCCTGGGTTATGAATTATCTTGTATTTCAGGTTAGCTGTTTATTGAACTCCCTGGTGTGGCTGCGTGGGATGTGGATGTTGACAAGGTACCTACGTGCCTGATACCCTCCAACTGGATTGCTGACTCCAGCAGACAGTTAGTCATTGCTGGCGAGGACGGGTGCACCGTCCTCGTGACTGTGCTAGGTTCAAAGAGTGGTTCCATCTTGTGTGGAACTGGCTGCGGCCCAGCCACCGTCTTGTGTACCTCTGGTACGCACGATTTCCCAATTAGACCGGAACTTTTCCGTTCTGTTTGTTGAAGGAGTATGTGCCGGCTCCGTTGATGAAACGTGACTCCCATCCAAATGTCTCCCGGTCTTATTCCTCCGGGTTTATACTGAATATGGGGTGTGTGTGTGTGTATGGTGCAGCCTAAGCCACCCATTGTCCCGCTGTAGACGCGGGCGTCCTGTGGCTGTCTCAGTGGAGTCCACATTGTCAGGCAAATCCGGCCACGGATAACGCTAAACTATATATATATATATAATATTATATATATATATATATATATATATATATATATATATATATATATATATATATATATATATATATATATATATATATATATATATATATATATATATATATATATTGTAGTTTCAGAATTAGAGTATCGCAACATGTTCGTAATTTTGCACAGTTCCTTGCGATATCCGAGATAGTTTCCACTCATTTGTGCTCGTGATCTGTGCACTCCCGACCGCGGCCATATTTGAGGTCAATGCGTTTTACTTTTATGCCTGTGCGGGCGCACGGAGTGCACGGCTAGGTAAACAGTCACTGGGCGTGCAGCACGTGCGCAAGCCATCGAAGCCTGTCCATGGTAATTGTGCGACTCAGCGGTGGTCAAGATTTGTCTGATCTGAAAATCCTGTGACCAGCCTCCACTCTACTATTGTGATGTTACCACTCTAGACTAGCAATGCTCTGAGGGCAGCAGTGATCAAAAACAAATCGTCTGATGCTGTCCTTTGCACGTACAGGTCAACCCTCGCAACCATTTAGCATGACATCATTACCGCGGTATTTTAACCTAGGCCCTTCATGTATGGAATCAGGTCGCGTCGACGCCATTGATGCTTGATGTTAGCAATGCAAAATGTTCGTATTTTTTATCTCACACATAATGATATCATGCCGTCGGACACTGTGTTGTGTAAACCGTTGGAATCGAGTCGTTACTGGCAGATACTACGCACACAATTTCTCATCTCCCTCTCACGTGTTGCTGGTCACTCAGCCATTAGTACCCAATTTTGCTACGCAGGACTTCGAATCCCTTGGTCACTATTAAATCTTTTGGCATAATACGACTTGTGTACACACTCATTCTCTCTGTTCATTCATTATTCTTCGCCTGTTGTCATTGTCTGCTTCATTTGTGATCGCTCCCTTTCTTCCCCCCCCCCCCCATCAGAAGAACGTCCCCACACATGTGAGCAGTGTGGTAAGTCGTTCGGTCGACTCTCCTATTTGCGAATGCATCACAAAGGCGTTCACTTGGGTAAGTGATTCACATCACTCTGGAATTGTGTTGCCGTCACTTGAATTGTTGATGGAATTACATTCTTTTGGTACTATCAATACACGGTCGGTCGCACAGTTGTCATTGTATACTGTTCGCTTGGCTGCTGGTGCATTGCTCGTCCGATCGTGCGAGTTTCCTTTGCACCTTCAGCTTGGACCTCACCCCGTAGACTGATGCAGCGGCAAGGAAGTCACTGTGGCATGTCTTCGCCAAATGCCCAATCCCCATACTGATTTTCAACATTACATGTTCTGCTGTTTAAAGCCATACATCTGAAGTTGCATTTGAGCATCAGCATCTTTGCGCAATCCTCGCGCACATTGCACTGATGCGCGGTGCAATGGACAAGCAGATTAAGATGCCCACTTTTTGCGTACTTCCAAGTGCCTACATCACTGAGACTGGTATGTTGCTGATGACCTAGTCAATCATGGCACACACTTCGAATTTTTCTAAGCAGTCTTGTGACTCACACTAACCTCTATGTCATCGTCATCAGCAATGGTCTATCATACCATAGGAACGGATGCGAAGTAACAAATCGTTCGTTCTCTGGTTCTCTAGCCTTACAAGTTACTGTAAAACTAGATCCGGTTAACATCGGAAACATCTCTGTCCTGCTGCACTTCTTAGATGATCAACTTGTTTGGTTGAATACACTAGTTAACATGGCGAAGAGCCTTTAGTTTCCTCCCTAACAACGATCTTATACCCAATGCATAATATGATATTCAGCATTATGTTACTATTTTAGCTTTTGTAGTCCGTAATGGTAATCTTTTATCGCAATACAATAGTTTAAATATATTTCTCACCTTCACTTAACGTTGATTGTCAAAGATGATTACCGCGTTTCTTCCGTCACCTGTGATTTTGCAAAATCTGGCACCCATGCTTTATCTGCCGGGCTCGCATCCCGCCTCCCTCATGCTCTACCTCTTAGTGGTATCGTCCCAATGCTATTCCACGGGGAACTGGTATTTGTTGGCCGTTTTTGTGTCCAATTTGATCAATTCCGATCGAATGCGCAACTGTTTATTCATCTGCCATTCGGACAGTGAATGAACAGTGGCACACTAAATCGGTATATACTCTTGCCTTAGAAGCTTATCTGAACAAAATTGAGGCAGCATTCCACCTTTTGCGTAGTCGTATTTTATTCCACTTTCACGACTGCTCTTTCTGTCTGCTCAGAAAGACGGGGCACACATCAATTTCAGGAAATTCATGCTTGGAGTTAATGTTGTCTACCAGCTGGTTTGAAATGCAGCGCTGATGTTGAAGGAACCAATGTGGACGTGGTCCTTGGTCTGAAAGACTAGCTGCAAGAATCGCTAGGACCATCAACGAAGTCAGCGGCGGTGTCTGACGCAGAACACGGGCATGACGTTAGTCGCAAGGATGTATAAAGAACGATAAAGTAAATTAGTCTAGGAGGAGGCGTGTATAGAAGGAATGGTTACCCCCCGCTTCCCATTCCGAGAGAGGAGTTACGTTCGAGACTCCCTACTTTTAGCTTTCGTCTTAACAGTGTAAGAAAGAACAGGCAGTCATCAGCAGTACACCCGCACACTCTACTCACGGTTCCCTGCCACGCGATCACGACCGGTCGCGCTTGGGCTGGATGTACGGGAGAACGCCCGCTCATACGCGGATTCGAACCAGTGACCTAAGGATTGCAGGACAGGCCTGAAATCCTTTCGACTCCTTAACAGTCTAACCTACAAGTCAGTGGTTTCAAAGGTTGGTGGCGATCCATGGTGCGTTGATTTACTGTCAGTGTCTTCCAATAAAGCCCTTGTGCGGTGGGATCAGTGCTGCAGAAAACAGGTTAAACGAGAACGAATGCATTCTGATGCGTGCACTCGCCCAGATAACACATAGAATGGAGCCTCGGTGGTAATTTGGACCGACAACATAATTTTACTTGACATGTCGGAGCTGAACGAGTTTCGAGAAGGAAGCTTGTTACCTGGGTAGGGAATCACCGCATTTGGTTGGACACACTTGATGATATGGCGAAGCGCCGTCCCCAATGGCGTTTATGTTGTATCTATGTCCACCCCCTCCCCTTTAGATTCCCCCTCCAATCCCGATTTCATGCAAAACGCATAATATAATATTTAACATCATATTTTTTGTAGTGTAATTTTTTATTCTCTTATCTTTTTGTATTGCGGCACATTAGCTGAGGTGTGTTTCTCACCCTCGTGTACTGATGATGATGATGATAAATCACCACCAGTGGCGGTTGTTGCAGAACTCAGTCCTTCAGGGACAAGCGTTTGTTCAGCAAAGACAACTCGGCGAAAGTTAAAGCCCTTTTGGTAATCCATAATCCTCGATATGAATTACTCGTTCACGTCCATAACTAACGACTCTTCTGAGGCAGAGGTGCTTCTTTTGACCTAGTTAAACGAACAATGAGTAACTCACATGAATGTCGGCCAATCGATGTCCAGCAGTCCAATCAGTTACACCCGTCGACGATTGCCTACCTGGCTCGCTCGGTTTGCCTACCCGTTCACTCTAGTATGACGCCCTCATCACATCCTCCCTTTTCTCGTGTCCTTTTACCTCCATATTGTTATACACCCCATACACCTTGCCCCTCCGCGTCATCTTCGTTGTATCCGAGGCCATGCTCTCCTTGCCACACGCCATTGTGAGCTCCACTCCCAGTCTACCTCATTGTCTCCAGTGTTTTCTCAAATGCACTCGATTTCTTTCGTATGACCTTTCATCAACCTTCGCAATCAAAACACCTTTCTTTTACCGCTCTTGCCCATCGGGCGCTGGTTGAACCCTCACTTCCTCCCCCACACTGTTAGTTCAGACAGCATCCATGCACCACGATCGTAGTACCATTTCTGGGTTGTCATTCGTCTTCTCAGCTTGTCCTGTAACCTCTCATGCTATGGCGAAACTAAGCGCAAAAGTGTGACACATTCCGGCATCAGTGTTCTCTAGTTTTTTGACTGTATAGTCACTGTACCAGACTCAAGCCGGCGTCCATTGAAAGGGTGTTGCGATTCTCCACTAACATGAAGTACGGGTCTTGGCCAGTAACTCTAGGCTCTAACTACAGTCGTTTGTCCTGTTTCACTGCTAGCCTTGCCTTTCCATTCACTTGGCCGTGATATCGGCTGGGTTTCTGGTGCATGAATTCCAAGGCCTGGAACGCGACTCTAGTAAACTGAGGACCATTGTCAAAGACCAGCATTTTGGTATTCCGTACTGCGCGAATTGACATCTGAGCTTCATGATTACTGCTTCTGTGATCGTAATCTTGAGTAACTCGATTTCAAACTAATCACTATAGTAATCCACTGTGAGTAGGCAATCTTTCTCGTTGTCACAGGATAAATCCACTGTCACTTTCTGCCACGGTTGATCCGGGACATCATGCAACAGCGTTGGTTCCTTCGTCTGCCGGATTTCGTGTGAACAGCACGGTTCACAATTCGACACATGATCTTTTATTTGACCCGTCATTCTTGGCCAACAGATCAGTACTCTTGCTCGGTTAATTGTATAGTTGGCACCCAGATGAGCGCGATGTAGATATTTTAGCATTTCGGAACGATAACGAAATCAATACGGCTTCCCTCGAGCAGGAAACCATCATATACGGAGAGTTCATCCCGAAATTTGAAGTAGGGTGTTATTTGCTTCTGCAGCTGCTTCGTTTCTGGCCAACCATTTAAAATAACGTATCGTAAAGCTGCAAACGTCACATTTTCCTCTATGTGGTGTCTTATTTCACTCAGACGATCTTCCGTCACTGTCAGGTGTTGTATTAAGTTTATTGCCTCGACCTCTTCTGCATTATACTAAAGCACCAGTAGATGAACTTTTGACAGCGTGTCCGCGATGAACATCTGTGCACCAGGCGTGTACACAGTATTCACGTCGTACATTTTAGCCGGATAATCACACGTTGAAGAGGGTGAGAAACGATGTGCAGCATTTTGCTGGCTATCGACACGAACGGTTTGTGGTCGGTATACACACTTACCTTTCTTCCGATAGTATAATCGTTGAAACGCTCCATGGCATAGACTACTGCGAGCATCTCCTCAATCTGCGCATAGCACCGCTCGGTCACGGTGAATGCTCGGCTGCTGAAATCCAGAGGTTTTCCATTCTGTAAGAGATCAGCACCTATTCCATCTTGCCTACTGTCACACTGTACCTACAAAGGCTGCGGTGGATCGTAGTATCTGAGTACTGGCGCGTTACTGCTGAGGTGCTTAGTAATTGCAAACGGGGTTCCCTAATCCTTTCTCTAACTCTACTTTACTCCTTTGTGAATTAATTTCCTATAGGGCATCATGATATCAGCGAGTCAAGGTATAAAACGGCTCAAATAATTCACCATTCCGTTTAAGCGATTGATTCCCTTCACGTTGTTAGGACCTGGCACATCTCGTATTTAATTGAGGTTTTTCGCAACCAGTTTCCAAATCAGATAGTCGTCCACATGCCCGGAAAAACACTAGACTGCAGTTTCAGCCTGTTGGGCATCATCAGTGCCTTGATTTTTCGTGGATCGACCCGGATCCCTTGGGTGGTTAACACGTATTCCTAGAAAATCACCTTATCTTTCTGAGGCTCAATTTTCTCGCGTTGAATCTTGATGATGCACACGACGCCATAAGAAACGGTGGAGGTTGGCATCATGCTCTCGTTCCGTTTAGTCATAGATTAAAACATCATCCGCCTCGCATGTTACACCATCTAAATCGTTTTTGGAAAATTTCACTCGGAACCTTCAAAACCGAATGGTAAACGCAGCCAACGATAACGGTGTTGCAAGTGTAGTCAGGAAACTGGATTCTTCATCTAAAATCACATGTCAGAATGCGGAAGACAGGTCTACCTTCGTGAAATATTTAGCTCTGGCCAGGCGCGACAATAAGTCTTCTCGGGTAGGTAGCGCATAGTGCTCTCCACGCAGGACCCCATTTATCGGTTTCGGGTCAATGCACACACGCAGTTTGCTCATCTTCTGGTGATGATTGTGACCTGACTAACCCATTTGATTTTCTTGTCAACTTTGGCAATCACACCCTATCTCATTAATTTGCTCAACTCAGCGCGGAACCTGTCATACAGTGCAAACTGAACTCTCCTAGCCGGTAGCGCTGTCGGTCATATCAAAGTATCCAACGATAAGTAAGTGGTTCCCTCAAATTTTCCCAAACCCGGGCTAAACACAGACGGATACTGGTCCCTAATATCGGTTTCTCCATGGCAAGCCTGCACAAAACGATCATGGTTAAAACCAACAAAACTGAGAGACTGGGTCTCATGAATGCCGAGTATTGGCGTGAGCTCCTTCTTCATGACCACGAACTCCAGTCGATATGAGGCTTCGTCCCTTGAGATTACAACATCCATTGTAGTCGAGGCGTTCGGAACAAGTCTGGAACCATTCCACCCACATACACAGGCAATCTTGATCCGATCAAATGCCCATTCCGGGACATTGCTTCCTTGGTAGATGGTTGACAGTAGTTTCCGTGTCTAACTGGGATCGTACGGCTTTGCCTCCAATCCATAGACTTGCATAGACACATTTTCGCGATACTTTCCGAGACGCGTTGTCAGTTGAATGTTCCGAATCTGCGGTGAACTAGTCACGATCAAACACACTCACATTGGTTGATTGGCAGCAACGAGCAAAGTGGTTCCCTTTTCCACATTTGGCGTGTTTCCGTCCCCACGCCAAACACTGTTCACGATAGCTCGGGTGTCGCGCAGCGCAGAATTTACAAATATCCTGTCTATCGTTAATATTCTTTGCCGTTTCGCCTCCGGAAACGGCACACAATTCTGCATCATTTGCGAGTTTCATTTGTTGGTATTGATGTATGATCGAGGACTCAATGTTGCAGATATCATTGCACTGCTGGAGCGGAAGGTTGCGTTGTCGCTAAAGCGGCTTTGTCGTACTTTCACCATTGATTCCCATAATGATCCAATTGCGTATGAGACTGTCGCCAATGCATTTACAGAAATTGCAGAAACGTGCTAAAATCTTCAATTCAGCGACCAATTCGTTTGGGACTCTGTTACGCGAGAAGAAAAGGTACCACTGGTAGGTCTCTTTGGCTTGACCTTCACAAAATTCACTGCATTTTTCAACGACGGACTCCAAATTCTTGGGATCTTTGCCGTTGTCGTACTGCAATGTCTCTAAAACACGGCGCGCGTCATCTCCGGCTGCGTGTCGAAACATGATCAAGCGATACGCCATCAGTTGTTCGTCCAAATGTACTAATGTGCAGAACTCTTGCCGTTTGCTTCTCCATAGACGCCTGTTACTCGCCAAGTTCCGTTCGTCCATGTTCACTGGGGCAGGCATCTGAATAGACAATGGAGATCCGAGCGACGACGGTGGTCTTCTTTGTCTTTTCTGACACTGTTCACGCTGGTATGATACTCCCATCACAACGGAGTATGAGAGACGAACAAAGTAGTTCACCAGATACTAGAGGAGCTGAATCTTCAATCGGTCTCATCAGGTTCTATTTCGTCTGCACGACTGCGACGGTTACATTATCCACTGACTGTCGGTACTGTCCCGTTTGGGTACCTTTCGTCCTTTTCATATCTAAGTGCTTAAGGTGTGTCACAATGTTGTGTTTGGTCTGATGCATTGTGTTAGCACGAGACGGTTACCGCCGATAGATGACCCACACTGTCTCCGCATTATTCGTCTCCTTTTCCGAGGTGGCTTTAGCACTATTTCACATGTCGAATTCTTTGATCCATTATTCATGACTAAAGTTGTGCTGTATTATCATCATCACCACTTTTTGACACTGGTAACTATTCACTTTCTGTTCCCTGACGCAGCGCAACGCCCATATACGTGCGAACAGTGCGGTCGATCATTTTACGGGAAGTGCAATGTGCAGAGACACATTAAATCTGTTCATTCCAGTGAGTGTTGAATTGCTAACGTCATTGAAGCTTAACTTTCGTACTTACGCTGTACCATCCTTGCTGATATTAGGTGGTTCCGGTTTGGTCACTCCTAGTGCTCTTACTGGATCTTTGTTTAATTGTTCTCCGAACCAGACACTGTACGTATCTGTAGTCAGGAAGGAAGTGGTTACTTTCAAACTGGGTTTATAGAGGCTAACTGTTATGTACTTCTCAGCCTCCATTCACATAACTGCCCCATCAGACAAGCTAACAACGATCACCCCTAGCCGTTGTGACGAGGGTCTCCCAAGTCTTCCTCCATTTTGATAAATGACAAAGCCCAGGTATTTAATGGAGGTCATGAAAAACTCACACTTGTGTTTGTGTAGGCGGAAACCATACTCCTTTATTCTGTCAAGCTTGAGTTCCGTTTTTTGGTTTACTTCTTCCTGGTTAGATCCCATGATAATGATATCGTCCAGGTATGCAGCGGTGTAAGGTATGCCCTGTAGCATCGTACCCATGATCTGCTGAAAGATTGTTGGGGCCGACTTAACGCCAAATGGTAGGCGTGTATACTGGAATAGTCTTCTGTAAGTGTTAATCGTTAGCAACTCACGCGATTTTTCTGACATTTCAATCTGGAGATATGCGTCTGACGAGTCCAGTTTAACACAACACTTGCCACCATTCAGACGTACAAATAGGTCCTCAGGGAGGGTATTTGTGGTCTTCTAAGGCGGCATTCAGGCCAGTAGAGTAATCTGCACACAAGCCTACCTTTTCGTTTGGTTTCTTGACAATCACAATGGGGGCTGCCCATGAAGAGAAATTCTTTGGTTGACTGTATTCTGACAAGTTCTTGGTCGACGATTGGAACTGGTCTCTTCGGCCGGAAGACTGGCTTTGCTTCTGGCCGCAGTGAAAGATTAGCCTTGGTTTTCGTGCACAATCCCAGATCTTCTTGAAACACCTGCGGATATTTCCGCTGTAAAGACTCCGTCCACTCTGCAAGCTCGTCGCTTACTTTGTTACACACGGAATTCAACCGAACATCAAGCAGTTTCATATTCTCAATCCAATCGAAACCGAGTAAGTTTAGATCGGGATGTCTCGTTATGTAGCATACCCCTATGAACTGACAATCTTTAAACATTACAGGACAATAGATTTCACCGGCCAAGTCCAGCGGTCCTCCTGAAGCGTTGGTTGCAATCCGAGTTGTTCTTTGAACAGGTAGCTCACCGTTTTTCTTCTAAGTTGTCTCGGAAATGAGCGTGATGTCTGAGGCAGTGTCAACTTGGAGGCGTACCGGCACCTGGTTCACAACCACTGTTACGTACTTGCGCTTTGCGGTTCCTGTATCGAAGGTAGCAAAGACAGGCTAAATTTGAGGTCTTTGTTTTGTTAACGATTTGGGTTCAAACCTCTTGGCATGTTTGGTGCAAGAGTTCTTGTTGAAAATGGTTGCACAGCAATGATTCTCCTTGTGCCCCGTTTGTTGCATTTCTGACAATGATGATTCTTGAATCGGCAGAATTCGACGAAGTGCCATTCGCCACATTGCCAGCATGCGGATGGTGGTCTGCTTGACTTCAGTGAGTTTTGGACCGTCGCTGTACTCCCACGCTGGTTTGATACCGCCAACACATCCACGGGACATGGACTGTTGCCTTGGGCAGTCATGTTCGTATCGTGCTTCAGGTTGATTAACCTCTGACATTCGGAAGTGATGGACGGGTCCTGCTCAATTTTTTTAATCAGCCTCATGCCTATTTTCGGCATCCTCGGGTGCTTGGAGATCACAAACGAAAATTAAGGCCATGAACTGGTCGTCTGACATTTCTTTTAGCCTGAAACGCCCACATTGACGATTGACGGTACGAAATCATCTGACGCGCACTTAATGAGCTTCATGCAGCTGTATCGGACGCTGAATAAGGAAGACTGTTCACCAAAAATGTCATTTAGCAGAGGTACAAGTTGGTCGAAGGTAAAATCTTTGGGGCATTTGGGCAAAATAAAATTGAGAAACTTGTCATGCTCTTTGGTTTTCTGCTTCCGTGAAAGCAGTCTGCACTTCCATCCGTCGTCAGCACCAGTGAATTCGGACCGGAAAACGTCTTCGTATCTTCTGAATCAAGATTTGAAGGTTAGGCCGGCATCCGGGTCATACTGAAACTCACAAATGCTTTTCGCAATCGCACTCGCTGATGATTGCTGCCTTTCCTTGGTTGGTCTTGCTTGAACCGCAAAACGCTGAAGGATATTTTCGAGCAGTCGTGTCTGGCTTTCTTCAAATTGCTTCTGTTGATGTTGAAGTATTGCGGTAAGTTGCTCCACTGAAAACGACATAGTTCGTCGTATACGACCAAACCGTTATCTCCGTCGCCAGTTCTTAAGCCAGACGAAAAGAGCAAAAAACAGAGCTGCGTAATAAGATGGTTAATTGCCTAACAGTCAGTCTCAAAAATACCGCAACAGGACGTCCGAGGTCATATGAACACAGAATCCAAAGTATCACTCAATAAACTCGGCTGACGGACGCACGCGTTCTGCGTCCAGCCATTCACATTCATTCTCATTCATTTGACTCCACTGATTCATTCGTTAGGAGGTGCCCCTCCTAACACTCCCCTTCACAGTATACAACTCCAGAGAGCAGCTCTTTCGACTGAATCATACGTGGCTTGTATGTCTAAGAAGGCAACGATCGTTGGCTGGCCAAATGTTTGACGACGCTCGAGTATTTGACGGAGTGTAAAGTTATTATCTATGCAACTCCGACCTGAGCGGTACTTAACTTGCTCTTCACGTATGCCCAGTTCGCGTACCAGACTGAGCCACCTTAGAAGCAGAGCTGCGGACACCTTGAAAGCAACACGAATGAGACTAATCCATCTGTGGTTGGCGCAATCAGTTCGGGTCCTCTTTTTGAAGACGGGCACGATATCCGCTAGGCTCCAATCAAATGGGATAACTTCATTGACCCAGATCCCTTGGAGGAGAGAAGTTAAGTCCTGAACAACTAATGAGCCTCCATCTTTGAAAAGAGCCGGAGGGATTTCCTCTGGGTCAGGGGCTTTGTAGCGCTTTAAGAGACAAAGCTCGCGGGCAACCTCAGCCTCAGATAGTGGTGAAGCATCTACACACCAGGAAGCGCTCTGGGCTCCATAATGGAAACTGATTGGTGAGGTTGGCCAATTAACTTGTTGCTCAAAGTGCTCGGCCCAACACCCGAGTCGGCGTTTTTGACAGTGCATTGGCTCGTTATTGGTTTCGCACAAAACTTGGCTTACAGTGGACCTTTTGCCGCCAGTAGATCGGATCAGGAGGCAAAGCTTACGAAAATTCCTCTAGGTGGCCGCTTACTCCATCTCAATGACCTGCTGCGTCCGCCAGGCCTCGTGATGACATGAACACATCAAGAGTTATACAGTGGCTAAAACATCTGTTTGCTAGATTTGCGTTACCTGAGGAAATTTGGACAGATAGGGGACCACAGTTTACAAATTACCATTTCCTTCAATTCTTACAACTCAGCGATATAAAACATGTACGTACTATTCCGTACAACCCCGTGGCCAACCGTATGGCTGATCACACGAACCGCTCACCCAAGGCGGCATATTTGTCCGGTATGCACTGGAAGATGCAGTAAGTCAGGCTCTGTTTACTCACAGCGCTACCGATCACACACAAGGGAGCTTATGTTAGGCAGGACACTAAGGACTAAATAGAATGCAGGGGTATCAGTCCATCTGCTCTTAGCCTAAAGATAACGAGCTTGTCTTGTAATCTACTGGCGCCCGTTCAAGCCTGCGTAGGGACAGGGCGACCCTCGCAGTATCCTTAACCCATATGCAACCGGTGGTGGTTTCGCGGAAGCGAAGCGTCGGTAATGCGTGCCGGCGTACTGCTGATGTCTTGTTGCTCAGTCCACCTATAAAAGGTTGGCCTTAACACTGCGCCCTGAGATGTTCGTCCGGTTACGACAAAGGAAAACACGAAAAGGGCAACCGACATTTTCACACCCCGTCAATATTTCTCGGATGTTGGGACCAGGAACGTGCCAGCTCGCAGATGCCAGAAAAGTTAACACCAGAAATTTGTGCAAGTCAACGAAACATAATGCGGTGTCAACGGCCTGAAGCGATCTCAAAGGGGCGTACTCACATTCAACCTAATCAGGTGACATTTTCATTTTAGGAGGAAGGTGGTGAAATATACGCTGCCTTGTGAATACGCGCGTGACGTGCGCAAGTACGCGTGTGTATTGCTTACATGTCTTTTGAATACTAACAGTCAATACACTTGTATGTTTCCTTCACGAAACCATTCGTTAGAATACACGGTTCTTATCAACTGGTGGGTTTTGTTGTGTTTTGGCTTGAGGCCTAGTGTGCTTAAACACATTTATACACATATATATACATATACATATATATATATATATATAGCGATAATGAACAAGGGGGAAATGTGTGAATCTGTGGTTTCGGAAGTGCAATCTCACTGCATGTTCTTCATTGTGCACGGTTCTTTGCCATATCCGAGAGGGTTTCCAGTCATATATGCTCATGATCGTTGCGCCCCTAGCCACAGAGAACTGACATTGCCCGACCGCAACTCAATTTGTGGTCAGGGCCTCCATACGTTTGGTGCATATCATTCGTTGGCTTTCTTTTCTCTGGTTCCAGTCAAATTTTTGCGCGCACCCAGTGTGCACGGTTAGCTAAAGGCCCAGTGGGCATGCGCTAGTCATCCAAGCCTATGCACAGAAATTGTACTACTCAGCGGCCGGCAAAGTCTCTCTTCTCTGCAAATTGACGAGCGTTCGCATTACTAATGTGATGCTGTCACCGTATACCATCAATGCTCCGAAGGCAGCGGTAATCGAAAACAGACAGCCTCAGAAATTACTTTGCACGGACAGACCAAGTCTGGCACCTATATAGCAGGACGGCTGTTGTCGCGGTATTGTAGACATGGCCCCTCAAGGAAAGATACTGGTTGCGTTGAAACCAGAGATGGGGGAGATTGTCAGAATCAGAATGTTCGTTTTTTATCTCATGCATAGCATGGCGTCGGATACTGTGTCGCTTATAGTGTTGGAACCGAGTGGTTACTGGCAGATACTACACACCCTATTTCTCACTTGCCTCTCACATGTTGCTAGTTAGTCTGCCATTGGTGTCCAAATTTGCAACGTGAGACTTCGAATCTCTTGGTCACTATTAAGTCTTTCGGCATACTACAATCCGTATACACTCTTTCTATCATATTATTCATTATATGCGCCTGTTTTCATTGTCTGTTTTATTTGTGATCACTCACTTTTTTCTCCCCATCAGAAGAACGTCCCCACACATGTGAGCGGTGTGGTAAATCGTTCGGTCGGCTCTCCTATTTGCGAATTCATCTCAAAAACCTTCACTTTGGTGAGTGTGTAACTAACCACACATTTAAATTTTTATTTATGTCTCACATTACACATTCACCGTTAACATTTTCGCGTTTTGGTAACAGGATTGCACCGTTATCGTTATACTATTCGGTTTTCTTGTGAGGTGCTCTTTCAAATGATGATGGCCTCGTAGCGTAGAATGATGCACTAGCAAACATGTCACTGTATCTTATCTTCGCTAACTACCCCAGCTCATACTGATTTTCAGCGTTTACATGTCAACAAACAATATATTTCCTAATCTGTAGGGTCCTAAAACCGTAGTCGAATTTGAGCGGATACCTACAAACTTGTTGTGCATCAGTTCACGGCTCTTCCTATACTCGCAAACCCGTGTTCTGTTCGTGTTCTATCTACTTCTCGCATGTTCCACTCCCTTGTGAAGACAGAGAAGCAGAGAAAGGTCGCCACTCTTTGTGTGCTTCCCAATGCTAACTATCGTTCGCATCGATGGCGATATTGGGCGCACTGAGTACGTCTATGCATACAGTAACATCCAGCTCGTCACAACCGTCAGTATCACTCAGCAGCAGCAACAGTGAGTCCTAACTAAAAAAGAGCCGTATTACAATGCCAATTTAGAGTGCAACTCACTTCTTGCATCATCAGGATAGCAGATGGAGGAGCAGGTTTACCTCACCCGATGTATACGCCAAGAAGAAGCCTCAATCTCAGATTGATACCAACCGCCTCATCTTTTATGCGTTAATCCAAGTAGGCAAATGCTGTAGTACCACGCCCATCCCTGCGTTCCCTTTTGGGTTTAAATAATGTGGCTAGCACCCACTCGCGCAGCCTACCTTGTTCGGTCATTCGCTTCTCTCTGAGCGCCATGGCGTTCATTTCGGCGCTTCACATTACCTAATAACTTGTACTTTGAACCAAGAATGTGTACGCGTAACGGCACTCCATCTTCAGCGCTTTGCGAAAACGGTTACGGTTATCCACGACGTCCCGTTTAGTAGTTCGACTGATGTGCATGATCGGTATTGACGGAAGCCATGCTGCTCCGGTGCCAAAATGTTGCATTTTCCAGGTACTCCATTGGAGCCTCAGGGACAACCGCTTCCATCACCTTCGCGAGGAGAGTCACTGGGCAGACTCTGAACCGCTACCACCATTAAAAATTGGGGTGATAATGTCACGCTTCCACTTAGTGGGGACTTGTTGTTCATCAGAGCACCTTTGGAAGAACTGTCACAGTGGCTCAGCTAGCATGGTGGCCGCAGCCTTCATTGCTTTCAGACGGATGTTGTCGGATCTCGGAGAGCTATAATCGCACAGTGAGAGTAACTTCCTTAGCACAATTGATGGGTTGAAAACTACATTTATAACCAATGGTGTCGGTAATGTGCATGACATTATGGGACAAGTAGAGGTTGCGAGTTCGAAAATTGAGGCGTCTTGTAGCCGCAGGGCATCAGCTGCTTCTTTGGTGCTTTGTACTCTACCGCCTGTCATGAAAAGTGGAGGGATGCCATGCTTCACTTTGCGAAGATTGTTGACATGCCTATACAGCAGTCAGTTGTTTGCCAGGAATTTTTTGGCCAGACAGTGTTGATAAGTTACTTTGTCCTCACGGACAAGTGCAGTGCAATAATTTGCGATGGGTCAGAAAATTGCCCCAAGCCTCTGAGTCCGGGTCAACATTGTGGGCACGCCATGCTGCATCTCTTATCACCAGACATTTTCGAATCCTGCTACTTAGAATTGTAGGCATTTTTGCGGAAGGGGCTTGGTCTCTGATACTCTTTTGACGATGTCGCTGTGTCTACCAACAAACTCTGCCCAAACGTTGTCAAGGGGACTGTTGTTTGAGAATCCCCTAGCAGATGCGTCGACGAGTTCTTTCAAGACGTGGTAGCATGTGATTGTATGTTAGTTCCGAGTGTTCAGATGGATACTCTGCATAACACACACTTGATCGTTATTACTACATGGTCACTGAAACCTAATGGACTATCCATCAATAACTTGTCAACCATGATGTATTCATTCGTGAGCACAAGGGCTAATATGGACGGTTTGTTTGCTGTCCTGTATCTAGTAGGCGTATTAACATGATTGTACAAGAGAAAATTAGCAACGATTTCATGCAAGTCTGCTTTGAACTGTTCACTGGGTGATGTTGACACCATCAGACCGTGTAGATGGAAGTCCCCGGCGATGAGAATGTGGCTGTACCTAGTGCGTGTTACTCTGTTCATGACACGTATCAAGCGGGAATGCATTTCCGGAGTGGAGGTTTGGGGGCGGTAAACGACAGCTACGAGACATGCATCGTTGTGTCTTAGTCGGAGACGGCAACAGAGTGAGTCGGTAACGTGAGTTTCCAGATCATCAACTATTGCACATTGCAGGTCTCTGCGGTAGTAGAGTAGCACCTCACCTCCTCTGCCGAGGTGGTCGTTCCGGGTGAGTGACATTCCGGCTATCTCTGACGTAGCCGAAGTTCGGTAAGTTTACTGAGGAACCCTTGGGCGTTAGTCTACATACATGAAAGTTTGTCAGATTTAAGCAACGTTTCGGAAGTTGTGCAACACGTGAATTTTCGCCGACCAGTGAGTGACCAGCGACTAATCATCTTTTTGGTGTGTACTTGGAGAAGGGTTTAATGTCTTATTCATCGTCCGCGTGGTTAGTCCCGTGTTTAATCTTCTACGTACAGTGTAAGGTGTCTAGTCACTTTCATGGTCTGCAGTTGTATGGGCTCATTAGACACTACTGGTGAATTGTTCTTTTATACATCCCATAGCATTTGATTCTTTGATTAACATATCTTCTCTAGGAGGCATATCGCTGACTCTCTTCAGCCGAACCTCAGATGGTAGCCTGCAACGGAATACGTACCAGCTTTTTAGTAGCCGTGCTACTATACGTTTTGATTGAAAGACAATCTTTAACACTTTCGGACCACTTCATTTGTAGTTCTGTGAGGTACGTAGCCGTGGCACGGATGTCGCTAACACATCATCCAAGCAGGGTGTTTCACGAATATAACTCCACTATTCTTTATCAGGGGTTATTATTTCCTACTCACAACATACTTCAGTTTCAGGAACCCCGTGAAGAAGTATGGTTCTGGTTGAAGGTTCCTTCCGGTAGTCCTCTAAGGTGCGGTTAGCTCGATAAAGCTCACCCCATGGGATGTATGGAAAGATATGGATGGAGCAGTGAACATTTCTGAAACTACTTGTCGACAAAAGTACTGATTTCTCTTCACAGAATTCTTGGCTGTCCGAAATGCTTAGAGTTGGGGTGTCGCATAATACGTACTACATGTACGGGTTTCATTATAACTCCGATTAGGTTACTAATAATGTCCCACTGGTTGAGGTCATCCAACTGCCTGCCTCTTATTGATGTGGACTTTGATTCTGGGATATTGGAGCACAGTACGCTCAGTACAGGTAGTTTTTTCTTTACACCTTTCGACATGTCGCGCTTAGTGATTGAAACAGTTGGAGATGTACCGGAGATTGACAAGTTAAGAGTCCCGGTTTTTCTAAACACGCTTCCTACAGTTGGTGCGTTCCAAGCGTTGTGTGGACTCTACTCCAAACAATGACCCGCATCACTATTCACGCCTAGAATAATTGAGAAACTCTCAGAGAAGTTACTCTCTGGCGGAAGTCAATAAGTTGATACCGACATACGTGTTGGCACTTTGCCTACTTCCATCTTCTGTTGTTTAATGGTAGCACATTAACATTATGTCCAGCAGTCGGATGCGCGGTTCTTTGTAGATCCGCTGCTCCGCATTGTTTCCGGATTTTTCCATCCGCAACGTACTATCGACTTAGACTGTCGGCAGTTTCGTCTCACTTGTTTCGCTTCTTCTGCACTTTTCAGCATATCCCAGTCAACCTCAGTGTTTATTTAGCGGTCATCAATGCCGGTCCGTTATCTAATGGTAACAAACTCTATTTGTACTCTGACGATGCGGCTTCATGCCTTTCTAGGGACTGACTGAGCGACTGTCGCGATATTCTCAGCCCACGTGCAATTAGTGATGCTTGCGCGCCTGCGAAGCGTCGGTACTGCGTACCGGCGTACAGCTGATGCCATCAACGCGGCTGCATTGCGTGGACACTATGGCCGCGGATTACGTGTGCGCCTTGTCCAGTGATGTGCACACCCGTTCCCCAATTGATTACTAAGCGTTCCCTCGCAACCCTCTTGCAAGTCACAGCACACATGCTGCTGGTATCCATTCCATTTGCTTCACTGTGTTCACCCAACATGGATTTTTTCGGCAGTGCATTTCTTGACTTCTATACCAGTGCATCCAACGGGTCCGCTTAACCTGTAACGATTGTCTCATTTTTCTCTATCATCGCATTGGCGATACACTGCTTTAGTCTAATCACTCGGAGTTTGTACAATGTAGATGCACAGCGGACTCCTAAACAGCATTGATTCTCCGGTTCGTTAGAAGATATCACGGCGCTTTGACTGAAGCAATCTACTTGACATTGCATTGCTCTGTATCTTCGGTAGCGTGGGCTAAATAGGGGTCACTTACTTTACTTTCCATGCAGTTGCTAAGGTAGATTCAAGCAATGGATCCGGACAACTGAGAGCATGTTATCTCTACTTGCCATCTGGTCACCCCAGCGATGCCCCTCTGTGTTTACCACATGAGATCGATGACATTTTAGTGGACACACGCAGATACTTTGTCTCCAGTTATGCGTTCACATGGAGACAGGCTAACTCTGAAGCTTTTCGTGTCTTCGACTGATTTTATTCCGACTCCGCTGGGCAAGTAGTCTCCACTCCTGTGGCCTTCTCTTCTGTGGTCTCCACAAAACCGCGCTCGCATGCATCAATAAGTATTGAATTCGCATGTTTATCCTGTTTTCAGCGGAATGATTTTACAACGTGATCAATTCTAAGGATTTCGAAGGTGCGCATATCCGTCATTCGGCCGTGTATCCAGTTGGCAGCAATTGCATCAGAAATTGCCTATCTGCTTGTGCAGTTTCAGACTGCGCTGAATTCATAAGTGGAGGCTAGACTTTTCTCGTAACCAAGGATCTGATTATTATTGTTTTTATTTTCACTAGTTACACGACCTACATTTACTGCATGTATGATTACTTTCGCCCCTACTATAGCTTGGTCTCCAAGTACAACGTGGTTGCGAATATTTCATTTTGTACGTACAACTTCAGCACATGTATAATCATTCAGATTGCAACCACACGTCGCCCAAATGCACCGGACGGCCGATATCGCCGAATATGTTTGGAACTGGGACAGCCGTTTGATTCTTGCTCGAATTACCATGATTACATATTCCACCTTTCTCTTTCTGAGTCCGAATCCAGAGCTCACCTGTTTTCATCTGATGGTTACGACCGCTGAGCTACACCGGAACGGAACGACGGACTTCACTAAGTTACTAGACGTAATGTAACGCCGCTCACTATCCACTGGTTTTCACGCTACTGCCCTGCATACCGTAGCTCAGTGGTTTTAGCCACCGACTGGTACCAGCCCAATGACGGGTTCTAGACTCACAACCGTCAGGTGAAATTCACACTGCTTATTGTTCCCAGTATGATCGAACGGCCGTACAATGCACTTCTGGAATATAATGGCTTTCTAACTGAGTTTGAATGTCACTACTTCTATTTAAAATACACTTAATCTAAACGAGGCAAATATTGGTCTTCACTTGATGTGACGACGATTTGTTGTAATTCATGAGTATTTTGAATTCTGTTCCCCTACGCCTGTCTCTACAGTGGCCGTATATGAACGATACACATACCAACGTGACCTTTATTTGTGATTTCCTCTTTTCAGAGAAATCGACAGACGGAGACTAATCAACTTAGCGATCGCGACACTGCAGTATACTTTTCATCTTTGCATTTTGCTTACGTAACCACTTTCATTGATACTTTTGACACATCCTCTTCCTCGCTTGTATTTATACTTGTAATGAAAACCTTTGACTTGTTCATACCAATCTATTGTTCACGGAAAGGGTGTATACTGTGGGACACTTGCATGGGTAGGAACTAGAGCCCGACAGGTGCTGTAGGATGGTTTGATCGAAATAAATGTAATTAGAACAGAAACGCTTGCAGCAACGTAGGCTTTACATCTGTGGACTGGCCATGTTACTCGCATTAGCGCAAACTTACATCCGCATACCTCAGTTCCACATGGGTAGATGCTGGTGGGTTCCACTTTTTCTCACTAGTCGTATGAGTTCATTGGTTAAATCGTAGAATCCTTTCGCATTCTGGACGTTTTATCAATCAATGAAGAGATTCTACTCCAATGTGGTGTCGGACTCACATGTTTTGCGACCGTCTTGCTCCTAATCAACGTAGTCCGACTGAACACAGCTCACTATACCATTTTCCATTGAAGTTGAACATTCGGGCAAAACATTTACGCCTGGGGGTCAACGGGGTTGCTCCTCCGGGGCAATCAAGTTGAGTCTTCGCTATGCGGAATAGAACCACTCACTGGCATGGTAGGGGCTGTTTCATTGGCCAAGCGCCTTCAGCAAATAGGACCTCAGACGCTTGGCCAATGAAACAGCCCCTTTCATGCCAGTGAGTGGTTCTATTCCGAATAGCAAAGACTCAACTTGATTGCCCCGGAGGAGCAACCCCGTTGATCCCCAGGCGTAAATGTTTTGCCCGAATGTCCAATTTTAATGGAAAATGGTATAGATTCACCAGTTAAAAGTAGTCACATCCCGCTCCTTTCGTGCGCGACCTCGGTGTACTCTCACGCTGCGACCTAAAGTCCATTGACAACACGAATAGGCTGTACCAAAACAGCCTTCGTATGCTTTGGGCTCTCAGGCGCAGCTTTAGCACTTGGTCCGAAGAGATTGCCACTCGCCTCTTCGTCTCGATAATACGACCAATGCTGGAGTACGGCACTCCCGCGTACTGTCCCATCACCCGGGGAGAAGTAAAAAAGCTTGAGCGGGTGCAGCATGTAGCCACCAGGCTGATTCCCAACTTACGAGGTATGTCATACGAAGACCGATGTAAGAAACTAGGGTTATACACCCTATCTTACCGTCGGCTGAGAGTTGACCTCATCATGACGCACCGGATATTACATCTGGGTGATTACCCCATGTTGAGACAACTACTTCATCTGCGCACACAAAGCTGCATGCGAGGACACCGGTATAAACTTATCGTCCCGGATTTGAAGCGGGTCGCCCATCAACTCTGTTTCGAACGCAGAGTGGTGAATGTCTGGAACGACTTGCCTCAGCATATAGTAGAAGCGAACACCGTATCTAAATTCAAGATGCTACTAGACCAACAATTTGCAGAGGCAAAGTACAGAGAGCGAAACGATAAATAAAAAGTTCATGTCCGAAAACGACGAATGATGCAGCTACACAGAGCAACCTCTACTCGCTGCTTCCCACCAGTTCTCAGTTCTCACCATAGGCGCGTGATTGGACGAGTATATAAATATAACATATTTTCAACATCTAACCATCTACAGTCGGCAGAGTGCCAAAACACATGAGTAACAACAAAAAGGGAAAAACAGACAAGAAAGATTAGTTGCTCCCATGTATTGTGTGGGCATAGAGCTTCCAGTTGCCTATGCCAAGAAATTGGCTTGACTTAAAGAGCCACACCCCGAGGCTTTGGTCATAAAAACTTAACCTGCAATTTAGTGGGGTGATTTACGCAAGTTACTGTTTATTAGAACTGTTGACCGCCAGGCAGCCCATAGTTCTTCTTAGGGCTCGGTAACAGTCCGCATGAAAGCATGTGGCCAGCAATGTTGCTCATCCGCCCTCTGTTAGGTACTCACCTCTGATTATAGAATTGAGTGGTCACATTGGTTCTGACGCAGCGCCGTACGAGCCCTTGTGTTATTTGAAGGAGTACCTGGGGATCAGCCCGGAATTCCCCACTCTCTGAGACCCTGCCGCTGATTGTCCGCGACTGCTTATTCATCTCATCTACAAATCAAACGAGACTTAATCACAGTTCCCTTCATTTGCCTATCGGCAAACTGGGGGGGGGGGCATACAACTGCGCCACGGGTGGCATTATATGATCTTCGATTTGAATTGCAGTCATGTTTTCTCTACTTGACGAGTACAATCAAGTGCGGAAACATTCGTGGAGTTCATTGTCTAATTGGATGCGGTCCCAATGCCCCAATTGATTGAAGCTCACTTAAATAAATAAACGCTTTATTCTCAGCATTGCGGGGCACGCATGCGAATGCATGATAATACAAACAGGTATGGTCGGCAGTTGTATAAAAATATAGCAAGTTAAGCAGTAACTTATTAGATTTGTGTGCCTATATATATGTAAGTGTAGTATAAGTGGGTATGGTGAGCGAACTTTTGATGTGTAACTGGATTCGTGAGTTTGCTGTGTTCGCCATCTTATGAAACGATCAAAAGAACTCTTCGAACTGAATGACGTTCATGAAGTGGGGATCTTCCGGAAGGGGAAGAGGCAGTGACTTTAGTTAGTGGTGAGTCCCATCCGCCACGTTGCAGTGTTGTTAAACGGACTTTTATGGCTTTTTATAGGAAGTACACTTGCCAGACGAAAACCCACTACATTCGGGAACACTGCCGCCGAACTATTCGCTGGAACGGGATTAACCTGAACCACCCAGCTGGCACCACGTGGAGGTTGTTCGGCTAGCCAGTCAAGGTGAGATGAGATCCAAATTGAGATGCCCCGTCGCAGTACATTCACACACTCGGTAGGTTCTTCAAAATGACTTCTAGTCACATTGACCATTGTGAGACGCCTTTCTTCCCTCTTACCTTGTTAATGTTTGGGAGCAGCTGTTTAGGCTGATACCCCAAACCGTACCTGCGGGTGCAGATAGGCGGCACGAAACCGGCCTTGGAGCACAGTGTCGCAATCGGGTAACACGCAGTATTGATAGGCTTCGGATGCGATTCCACTGGTCAAGGCTCACTTCAAGATAAATTGTGTTTCACATCAAGCCTACGCGTCCCTATACCTGCTCGCGCACACACACACCAAGTTCTTCAAAATGACTTCTCCAGTCAGTCTAGCCATTGTGCTAAACATTGCCCGCCGCAGCGAATAATCCGAAGCATGATTTCGCCGAGCGAGACCACGAAGGCCACCATCGTGGAACATGTCTGCCAATTTTGGGCCGCGCGACAACCAAAGAGGCGTGGCCAGTATCTTACATGAGGACGAAAATGTAACATGTGTTGAAAAAATAATCACCTTTCTGTCCTTTGACCAGGTTGAGCATACTCCTCTGTGACAAGTTGTGCACAGATTCAGAGCATACTTTTAGCACTGTGTCTGAAAGGGATCGCGAAAATATGTTTACTCGATTCTTTTGATCTTTGCTAGTCTCGTACTGTTCCATTTTTTACAGATACTACTACCAACATTCTTCTCGAAAGCATTGTCCCGGGATGTAAATCCGACCCGGTCAAGTGTGTTTGCTTATGGATAACGGCCCCAGACTCCATTTGAAAAGCCTAGCTACAATCGAAATAGTGAATCCATAGGACAGTGGTTCACATTGGAGTTTCTGATCGTGGAGGCCGGTGGAAAAGTTGACATCGATTTTGACATTGATACAATTCTTTTCTTACTTTAACCGTGATCGTATGGTACATAATTGTCAGGGAGAAACCGATAGTATTGACCAGTATCCGTGCTTTGCTCGGGCTTCGAAGGTTTGAAGATGTCACTCATTTGTCGCCTGATACATTAGCACGGCCAGCTGTATTGTGTGATTGGTTATCTATCGATTCAAGTAAGCGGACGGGGACGGTTATGCTCTCGACGGTCAATGAACTGACAGTCTTGGTCAGCCACCTTTTAGTCGTTACAACGAATTATGGTGATTGCGTGGGTGTATCCATCCAAAGCCCTGTGTAGAGAACATAATACACTGCCTACGTTGAAATACCTTATATCTTATCGAGATACTGCTAAATATTCCACGAATGTAGGCATATTTGCTGAATTCTCTCATCTGGTCCTTGCTGAGTGTTCTAATTTCCTAACGAATTCGCAACACCTTTCGAGCATTCTCAGCAGTTGTGTTCACTATTTGGTCTAAACGTTTCTAGTGAGTTGTTTCTTACAGTATTACTGCGGATAGTGGAGGATCTCGATCTGTTACCTGAGAGGCACGAACTTGAAAATGTGGCCGGATGTCACACATCAAATAGTAGCAAAGTGCAATTTTCGTCTTAATCCAAGGTTTAGCTTAAGGATTTTCCAGCCGTATGTCACTGTTTCACTCCGTAGCCTGAGTCCGGCGGGATGCAGAGCTCGTTTTCCCGAAGATCATGGTGTGACTCTTATTGCTGCATCTGTATGCACAAAAACATGAAACTTAGTCGTGCAGTCGAACAGGCACATTAGGCGACTGATGACCTGAGGTCAGCAGCAGTCGCCGCGATTATTGCCTGGCTTTGGCGTTTTCCGGTTGAGAAATGGTAAATGATTTCGGGTATTTTCAACTCAGACAACAGTTACTTGCTACCTTGGTAAAACGACCATGGAAGTAGCAACACAATCGCTGCTATCGTGAGCGTCATCTGCTGCGGTGCAGGCTTCGAGAACTTCGGTTGCTAGCGCACTGATATCCAGTAGTAGACATACACACTTCTAAATAAGTAAGTGTGTAATAATCTATTAGAAAAGACAAAGCGTTCGGGGAAATCAAATAACGGTCAAATGGCAGTTGAGTTCTGGTTAAACGGATATGTGTCGTAGACGTGAGACACGTTGCAGAAGTTCGATCGTATTTCCACCACTAATGTTCGGCTTTCAGATGAACTTGATGGCAGAGCAGACAC